CAACGTTTTTATTCCGTGCTTCCGACTTCTTCCACGCATCGAACATGATCTTGACCGCTGTGTGTAGCTCTTTGACCTGCTTGCCCATCGTCAGGAGCAGCCCTTTGTCGTCATCCTCTATGGGTTTCGCGCGTTCCTTGGCCAGGGTTGTGGCTCGCTTGGTCGTCGTCCGCCGGCCACCACCAGCAACCTCCGTCGCTCCGTCGGTCGCATTGTCGATTATCTCTTGATGAGTCTGGTTCAGTTGGGCTTTCGCGGATGGCTTTCGCACCCTTCGTGATGGCAGGTCCTCGTCGCTCGCTGCCACCGCCTCCCTCGCAACGGTGATGGACGTCGAATCTGGCTCGAGATCCATCGCGTCGGGACGTGCGCAGAGACGCCACGCGGTAGATCGTGCTAGTGCCACGTAGCGCGTTTCGGAGCTTCTCGACAGCGCTCAACCCAACAACGTCGAATGATTCTTCACACAATCAAATATCGAAAATTCCCCAATCCTCTGATCAATACTACAGTAGAAGTCGAATTTGGTTTCCGTCTTTCTTTGTCGTTGAACAGAAACGCTGGTGTAAGTTCCTACTAGCAACATGAGAGTCACAAAATCAAAGACTAAAGTTTTGATCCCCCCATATTCCGCCCATGGGCCAACCATAACCGCCGAGTCGGTATCGAACACCTTTAGTTAATGTCAGCAACTCTGCGCTCGTCCACTCACATGGTCTTCATTCATCTCCAAACTCCGTCAAACATTCTCTATTCTCCCCACATCGCGGCGGTGCCACGAGAGCTCATTGAACGGCGCGATCGCTGTAGTGGCACTAGCGGAGTAACGTCGTATCTCGTCGGTTCGGATATTCGCCGACAGTACCGTGTACACGAAGGTGGGACGATATCCCCAGGCCAATCCACGCCAGACACTGGAGAATACCGTCTATTCAGCGGAGTCTAGCGGTCGCTAAACCGTTCGCCCACTCCCGTCGCGCGAACGCAAACGCTTGTCTTATCAACTGACGTCTTGTTATCGGCCATTGTCCAGACATTTTGGTCGGTCAATTTACCGGTTCGTGACTGTAGGACCGATCGTTAGACAAGGGACCGGAGCGAGAGGGGAGGGAAGAAGAGAAGCAGGCGAACGCGTCGGGCCTGTCACTGTCGGGGAAGATCGGCGGAAGATAAGGCACGTAACGTGCATTGCCTCTGCTTGCCCATTGTTTCTTTTGGCCGCGGAAAGGTCGCGACCATCCCCGCCCCGGGACCTAGGCATTGGGATGGCCGCTTCATTCAAAAAGGCGACGACACCCCGGCGCCGCTCTCGAGATGCGACCCTAGAATTCTCTGTAGGAGCTTCGAATTCTCGGGCAGCAGTCGACGACGACGATCAAGAAGAAGACGACTTAATCGACGAACGACAGAACTTGCTCGCCAACATGGGGTCATCGACAGACGCGCCGCAGAACCCTCCCGCCGAGGTGCAGGATGGGGATAGGCAGCACATTGACAGCGACATGGCCAAGAAGATTGTCCGCAAGATTGATTTTAATATCATCCCGCTGCTCTTCATCACCTACATGTTCAACTTTATGGATAAGACGATTCTGTCCAGCGCCTCTGTATTTGGTCTCAGAACCGACACCGTACGTCGTTCTTCAATGTGTAATCTCATCTACTGTACGATTATTTCATGCTAACCTCGTGAACAGCATCTCAAGGGCCAAAACTACAGCTGGGTCTCCAGCATCTTCTACTTTGGCTACTTCGCCTGGACCTACCCAACCTCCCTCCTCATCGCCCGCCTCCCCGTCGCAAAGTACATGACCGCAAACACCTTCTTCTGGGGCGCCGTCGTCGCCCTCACGGCCGCCTGCACAAACTACGGCGGCCTCCTTACCGTCCGCTTCCTCCTCGGCGTCGCAGAGGCCACCATCACGCCCGCCTTCATGTTCCTCACCTCCACCTGGTATACCCGCGACGAGATCCCCACCCGCACGGGCATCTGGTTCGCCGGTAACAGCGTCGGCGGGCTCGTCGCCTCCTTTGTCGCCTTTGGCTTCGGCCACATCTCGAGCGACGACAAGGTCGGCCCCTGGCGCTGGATGTACATCATCCTTGGCGTCCTCACCTTTGTCTGGGCGTTTGTGCTGCTCATCTGGCTGCCCGATACCATCTCCAAGGCCCGCTTCCTCAAGCCTGAGGAGCGCCGGTACGCCGCCGATCGCGTCGTTGTCGCCGGTACGGGGTCCACGGAGAAGACACACTGGAAGTGGGACCAGGTCGTCGAGTGCATGATTGACCCCAAGACATGGTTCATCTTTGGTCTCGAACTCATCACGCAGATCCCCAACGGCGGCACCCAGAACTTTGCCAACCTCGTCATCAAGTCGTTTGGCTTCACCAGTCTGCAGTCGACACTCATCAACATCCCCTACTCGCTTCTCTCTGCCGCCATCATCGCCGGAACAGGCTGGATCGCGGGCCGCTACCGCAAGATGAACTGCATCCTTATCGCCATTGTCGTTTTGCCATGCATCACTGGCGCCGCGATCATTTACTCCCGTGAAAGCGTCAGCAGCGGCGTACAGCTGTTCGGCTACTTCCTCCTGTCCCCTGGTCCTGCTGCCATGCCGCTTGCCATGTCTCTCGTCTCGGCAAACTACCGCGGCGTGACCAAGAAGATGACCATGTCGTCTCTGCTGTTCCTCGCCTACTGCGCTGGCAACATTGCCGGCCCCCAGTTCTTCAAGGCTTCCGAGGAGCCGCACTACAACACTGCTTTCCGCACCATCATGATCTGCTACTCGCTCGTCGTGGTGCTGGCGCTCGGTTTGAGATTCTACCTCCAGTGGATGAACGCCAAGCGCACGAGGGAGGAAGGGTATGAGGGCAGCGCTGGTGGTGCTGGTGCTGTTGGTGGCGGTAAGGTCATGCAGACTGAGGGTACTGCTGGTGATGTCGCGGATATGGTTGATCGGCTTGAGCTTCGGCCTGAGGATTATGAGGATGTGACGGACTGGAAGACGGCCGGCTTCAGGTATCGCCTATGAGAGATGATGTGAATGGCTTTCTGAGGGAGAGGCCCGCGTTGATTGGGCCTTAGTATACGGATGAATAGATCATCTAGGGCTCCTCAGTCATCGTTGGGAGATGAGACAAAGGAGCTAGTAAACTTAATAGACACTTGGATGAACAAGGACTGGCCGCACCGGGTGTTCCGTGGTGATGTGAAGTAGGATGATGCGACCGTGCTTCAGTCAAAGTGACCCGCAACATGATGCTCAACAGCAGCAGCATCACCCTCAAACTCACCGCAAACAGGGCAGGTCACGGTCTCAGAAATCGAAGTAGGCGCCGCTTCCTGCACCTGAGCCCCAGAGTTTGCAGCCGCTCTGCCTCGCCCACCATTCTTCTGCTTAGCAGGCCGAATGTAAGCCTCAAGCCCAACCTGGGCCGAAGGCAACTCGGCCTCGGCATCTTGCCTGCGACCGCCGCCACGGCGGGGAGGTCTGCGTGAGTCTCCATACGCGGCCGAGCTGTCGGCGATTTCAGTGGATGTAAATGACGGTTCTTGTGGCTGTTGTGTGTCATCGGTATGAGACTGCACTCGTCCGACCCGGCCATCGGAGAGCCGAACTTTGATGCCTCGAGGGTGGTTGCCGCGCGTGAGCACATCCTGAACGGTCCCGGAGACGGTGCGACCTGTGGGTTGGTCTGCTTTGAGTACGATGTTGACGCCTGCGCCGCGGACGACGGTGGCTATTGTTGGAACGCGAGCCATCTTGTGAAGCTTTTCGTGAAAAGTACAAGACTATCGGCGGTAAGAATTGTTGTGTTTTCGGCAAGGGAGTGTAAGTGGATGGTGTTGCTGTTGATGGTGGCCCTACAGAAATTGTGCTTTTGAGCGTAGGCGAATGACGCCACCAGAGTGTGGAGGGTTCTGTGGCGCGACTGATCGCCAGAGATCCGCTCTCGGCCCTGCTAAGCGACGCATCATGAGCACGCAATTTTGCGGACTTTTTCATAAATCGGGCCGGGTGGCGCAATGGCAGCGCGTTGCTTTCCGGTGGCAAAGGTTCTGGGTTCGAGTCCCAGCTCGGTCGACTGTTTTGATTTTTGCCTATATTTCATGGCGAAAATATCCTTCATCTTCCGAGACCTTTGTTTTCATCGACAAGTTGAGAATAAAGGGCTTGGGGGAGTGGTGTGGTCACTGAACTTAGGGTAGCTTAAGGTCAACCGTTTGTAAGCTGACCGGGCAAGTTAGAGATTTAGGTTGGTGACACCGCCGAGCCGGTCGTGGGGCCGAACCCAGCATGATGTCTGGTCAAGAGCACCGCACACAGCTTCTGTTGGGTACTAGCTAGTATTAGGTGCCTTGAAACTCGAATAATCTTAAAGGTCACGTCAAATTAAGGTGTCTCAATATATCTTCCTAACCTAGGTGAAGCTTACAAACGTCAAGATCACTTCGTACCCGTCAGTGGTCTTTTCCAAGATCATCGTGCCTTGATGTAACAAGAAGTTGACTCAGTCATCGTATATGGTAGGTAAGAACGATGTATTCAATTTTTCACTACTGCACCTGCACTCTGCTTCTTTTCTCTCTTGCCCAAAGTAGATGCCCTCTCTTACTTCACCTCACGTGGCTGAGCCCATCCTAACCGCCACACTATACCTTGGCCGACGCTTACACGGTCATATTCGACCTCGCTGATGCCTTCTTTACTTCATTACTCTTTCCCTCGAATGGTTCTGAGAATATCTGAGACTTTTGCACTCAGAAATCGTGCGTATTTCTCTTCTACTCATTCAATTCTACACTGCGCCTTCGATTTCTTCGCGCAACTCTCACCTTTGCACACCACACCTCATTAAATCTATCTTCACATCGCCATAGAAGCATCTTCCCAAGGTGAGCAAAATCCCTCCAACTAGGCATTGTAACCATCGAGCAAATTTCTCACTGACGCATTCACATGCATCACTGTCCAGTCTCGCCGATTCCCGAAATGGCGCCTCTCGAGGAGCAGAGCGTTGGCCAAGTCTGCCACACTCCGTGGCTTGAGACCTTTCTCGATGGTCTGAGCTACGGCGAATCGCCACCACAAAGCATGCCACTCTTGCTCTCTGAGTTCATCGACAATGAGTACAGGTTTCAAGACATGGATAGCTTCAAGAAGAACTGGATGGATCTCGAAGACAGCTGGAGATTGCCACTTAACATCGAAAAGGACTGGGAAAGCCACCCGGAGTATCCCATGGGTCTCTGGGTTGGTTGGTTCATCCCAGCCATCATCCGTCCGGGCTTCTGCTACAAGAATAGAGGAAGCCTATGCGTGAATAGCTTCACTGCACCCCCCATCAACAATGCCACTGTCCGAAAGGCTTTCAAGGTCGTCTACAGATTGGATAGTGGCATCGACCGGGAGCTGTACGCACTGTATTCTCCTGATGAGGATGGTCTCTGTAAGGCCAAGCTTGTTCCTGGGGGCGCACAGAATGTGTTCTTTTTCAAAGAGTGGAGAGATGATGCGGTTTGCGGCCGCTACAATCGAGTAGCAACCTGGATGGGAAAAGCCGACGCAGGAGCAATGGAGGCGAACCTGGCGAGAAAAGTAGCGATTGGGCCATCTCCTTGGCATTCACGCATGTCCAATGTGTCTGGCAAGCATGATGGCGTCAAAAGCAGCAAGGAGAAACGGATTCTCGTCAATGAGCCATCGTCGCCGCCTCAAAGATCGCAGGGATCAGCAGAGGAATATGGAAGCAACGTTCTTTCCTCTGACTCGTCAAGCGATTTGTACATACCTGAGGAGTCCAGCAGAGACGATGATTCGGCAGACAGCGAGCCTCCAAGTACGACAAGACGTTACAAAATGAAGACTGGAGACTACTCTACACCCGTGACCAGATCATCGCGCAGACGCTCATCGGAGTCTGAATCGAAGTATTCTCATTCGCACTCGAAAAAGTCACCCGCTCTGACAAGAACGCGGCTCTGGAGCCGTGGTACTCGCCGTGGGTCGGCAGGTAGTCCTCAAAGCAGAGGCGCCAGCCGAGGCAGCCCTCAAGCATCATCTTTGCGAGCCTCCGATGACGGCATTGCGAGCCCTTCAAACCGCCAGTCCAATGACTTGGACAGTCTTCGCAAAAGCTCGGTACCTACTCACAACCTAAGTCCGCAAAAGAGGAAGAAGACACGAACTAGCGACACCGAAAGGTCTCAGACTGAGCCACCCCGAAAGCAACACCGAACTAGACAGGCCCGCAAGACACATTCCGATCAGTCAGACAATCTTCAGTCAGATATCAAATTTCTAGTCAAGGACGAGAAGATCGGAGAGAGCGATATTGAAGTTCAGTTCGTCAAGGAGATTCCAATTAAGAGAGACGGGAAGAAGCCTCGTGACACTGGAGTAGCGAATCGTACCCAGCCCCCGAGCGACAACGATAGCATTCTCTTTGTCTCAGGATTCGTCGCAGCAGGAAAGCTAGCATTAGTGGCTGGCATTCCGGATGCCTTCCCGCGTAATATCATGCTCGAGACATTTCGAGGACATTTGACGTCTACGGAAATGTCTCACTTCGATGCCTTAGCCCAGAACCTTGTGGATTCTGCGGGTGAAGACATTCGCATGATGCTCGCGGAAACCCTCGAAGAAAAGTTGAGGAGCAGATTGCCTGCCGTCAGCGATTGATAGGATATAGGTATTTGATTCCCTCTTAATCCAGTTGGTATTGATGACTAACAAAATTTTCCCAGGATCCTTATCCATCACACTCGAAATCCTGACCTCGAATAACGATGGTCTTTCCTCTTGAGTCAGGATGATCACGACAAAACAAGATCGTCAACCCAGAAACCAATTCTATATGGCACAGCTTCGAGCAGTAGCCTGATATCAGGAAAGGACCGATACCGACGCGGAGATATAACTTGAGCTAAGGATAAGGTGGAGAGGTGGATGCGCCGTAAATTACGACATATAGAGGACCAAGAATGATACCCGTTAGCTATGATGCTCTAGCCTGGCATCTTCTTTCGTTTTGCTGCCGATTAAACATAAGTGAAACTAACTCTACCTCTCTCAAACATTAAGACTTTCAAGAAGCTGAAAGCCCCTTTGGGTCACTTAAAATATCCCTTCCGATCATGAATCCGGGTCCCGACACTAATTGGCTTTGCCACGCCTCCCAACCGTGGGCTTCCCAGCTTTCTCCTTGTCCACTATATCTGGATGTTCAAACGGAATCCAACCTTGTCACAGACCGGGAAACTGGGCCACCTTTGCCCACAATATCTGTAATTCTTTCGATCTTACCTTGCTGAAGGAAAGAGCTGTGGACTCGACTTCCTTTCAAGTTTATTTCCGAGGCATCTACAGAGTTTCTTTCTCTTTCCTTCTGTTCCTCTTACAACTTGTTACCTACATACTCTTCCATTCTCTGCAGCCCACATTCTTCTCTCCAACTCCACTCGATTGAGAATCAATTCCCATTCCCTCCTTTCAAGAGGCTACCAGGAGCTTCAAGAATGGCAGAAAGCAGCGGAAAGGATCCCGAGGCGGCAGAAAAATACGCCTGCACTCTCCCTGCATATTTCATTCCGAATTTCCAGCGAGAATGGTCAAGCTTGGCCGCCAGGCTCTTCAACACCGACGCTTTGGACATTCTCTTGACATCTAATGAAAAGAAACAATCTCTCGCACTAATCGCCATCCCCATCACTAGTTCGTCCTTCGCGAACAAGCGCAGAGCCCAGGCCCTCCACAGAACGGTCAGCCAAGCGCGGGAGATGGGCCAGGGCAAGCGAACTCCCGCCAGAGTCACAATTATTACAGCTCTCCTCATCTACATGCTGGAACCTCCGCTGACTTGGTGGGAATGGGCGGCCATGCATCAACCACTCGGTGTTCTGCGATATGTTCGGGACTGTGCTGATGGCCTCAGCCTTTACTCATCGGAGGGTATGTTGAAGGCAGCGTTGGCACATTCTCCGACAGTGTCAGCCCAAGATCAATCAGACAGCTTACTCGTTGTCGACAAGCCTTCGTTGAAGGAAGCCAGCGCCAAGAAGACCAGCGCCAAATCTTTGGAACCTGCTCAGCTCGACTCAGATCATCTCGCTCTACCGGCTCTGAGACCTTGGACGCGCTCCATCACCAAGTTTACGACACCTTCGCCGCCGAGCAAGAAGCGGAAGGCGGAGTCCGAGTCCCCTCAAGACAAGAAAATTGTCCAGAAGAAAGAGTCAGCCAGCCCAAAGAAGGTCAAGTTGGCTGTTCCGAAGAAGAAAGTCGTCAGTTCCAAGAAGAAGACGGCCACTCCGAAAAAGAAGGTAATGGCTGAATCGGAAAACAAACCCACTCCACAAGCCAAGGACCCCAAGGTCAGCCCAAAAACCCCAACCAGAGGTGCCACGTTGATTGCTAATGTTCTTTCTACGCAATAGGCCCGAGACGCCGAAGCTGCGAGGCGACAACAGCCGATGGACAATGTCTTGTTGGCCAGATACATGAAGAGTGCCCCCATGCTCGATAGAATTGCAGATTACAACGAAGAATCTGTGCGTTGCGTTGCCCTCACCAGTTTTCTTAGAGACTTGAAGAGCTCAGGCTGGGAAGATCTGGAAAAGTGTACCTGGCAGCTCATCAAGGATGGCGACTATGAGTCTCGCGCGTTTCTCGCTGAGGCCATAATGAACGATGTCTATCAGCGCATCAATAACTCTGTCGAAGACGTTCCGCAGCCCGCGCAGCTCACAGAGCCCGCGCGGGTCGAAGATGCCACACATCAACCCGTACAACAGCTCACGGAAGCCAAACAGACCGCGCAAGCCAGCCTGGATGAGCAATTTATGGATACACCAACGAAGCGGAGAAGCCGGTCCGGGTCCAAGCAGGGTAAGAAGTCCACTCAGACAAAGAAGCGTACCGCAGAGACAAAGAAGCCCACAACAAACACGTTGAGTGAGCATAACACACCTACGAAGCAGGCAAGCCGGCCTCTCAGATTCTCTCCCAGCAGTCGCATGTCTGATGACGTTTTCAACGACACGTCTCCTGTATCCGCCGCCTCGCCATCGGCAGGTCTGCAGCAACCAAACTTGGCTTCCCCGCCTCGCTTCAACATTCGCGGAATATTAGTCAAACGACTGAAGTCGAAGGATACTCAGGCTTGAGAGACGTGCCCCAGTCTTTGAGAATTGCAAACATTCTCCAGTGCTTCCTTGCACTTGGAGCCTTGGCGATTGAGGGGACTTTTTGATGTACCTGTATTGTATGGCCAATCGTGGCTACGAGAGAGGGAGACTCTTGTGTTAATTAGGAGTGAAGATACTGGCATGAGAGGACGTATTATGGCTGACGAACGGATGCTTTGAGAAGGATGAGACTGCTGGTCATGAGATAAGGATCTTCGTCTCACAATGTCGCCGTGCTACTTTAGCTAGCTTGATTTAAGATAAATAACGATTGAATCAAGAACCATAGTGAGTTGGGCCTCCAATTGTGACTGCCTTCGATATGACATATGAAGACGCCGCCAAGGGTCAGACTCTTGTTTCGGAAGTTGAGAGTGAGCCATCTCAACGAAAAAGCTACAGGTTTTGATTTTCCCATTGGTGACAGGTGAGAAGACCAATGTATACTTTTTGCACCGGATCTCGCAATATTCCAAAGTCCCTCGATCGAAGCGGTGTTTCTCTTGCATGAGTGAGACGTTGCTTTGCTGATGTAATCGACTACCGCAATTGGTATTTGCTTGCTCCTCATTGGCCATATTTGCACGACCGTGTGGGGCCCGACTGCCTGAAAGTCACTGGACTTCGCGACACCCGTCGCCACTTTCCTGACGCGCTCTCCCATTTAGCGGCGATCCCTCCCACCGAGTCGTGACGCTGACAACGAGGGTCCTCTCCCCCTCGCAAATCAGACATGACACCCGCCTCCCCTTTGCAATGTCTTCCTCCTTTTCGCTTGATTCAGACGACGAATATGGCTATGATCTTTCTTTGGAGGACGAGACGTTGCTGAGCCAGCTCATCACCGACAACCCCGCCCCCACCTCCAGCTCATCGCGAAACCCCGCCGCTCCCTCGATCGCTTCAGACCTTGGCATCGACACCGTCGCCGAGGAAGAGTTTCGACTTGACGATGATGTTCCCGCCGAGCTTCTCTCCTATCGCACGACTGGCACAGCCAAGGGTCCTGTACGAACGAGTCGGAGTCGCTCAAAGGCGACCTTTGCCGACGATACGAAGCAGGCAGATCTTCCCCCGGCGTCACCTGGTCATTCCGTCGCCTACCCGGATTGTGAGTGTTACATTGCGAAGTGAACTTCTTCTGAAACTGACTGACGTGAAAGCGCTTAGTGAGCAGAGCCCTCTCGAATAATAATGCGGACGCCTCGTCACCAAAACCGAACGAGAAAGCCACTCCTGATCCTGAGAATGATACCCGATCGCCGCTTGTGCGATTCCGATCGTATCCCCGGAAGCCATTCACGGTCACTGACTTGACGTCGGGTGCCTGGTGCGAGCTACAATACTTCTATACCCTGACCCGCCTACCCTATGGTCGGAAGACCCGGACGGCGGCGATGAAACAGGGGACAAAGGTACATCAAGACCTGGAAGACGAAGTACACACAACGGTCCGCGTCGAGATCGCGAGTAAGGAAGACGGCTTTGGTCTCCGGATGTGGAATCTCATTCAGGGACTTCGAACACTCCGTGAGACCGGTATGACCCGTGAGCTTGAAGTATGGGGATTTGCCGACGGCAATCTGGTCAATGGCGTTATCGACGGTCTGAGCTACGAAAATCCGGACCCGGAGTTCATGGAACAGCTGAGCCAGGAGTCTCAGCAGAACCAGTCCAGCATCACCGACTACTTCCCCTCGAACAAGCCGGCGAACATGCCCCAGATCTACCTGACGGATGTGAAGACGCGTGGGTCTATGAAGGCGCCCAACAGCCCCGCATTACTGCGGCCGGCAAAGGTGCAGCTCTTCCTGTACCAGCGTTTCCTGTCAGAAATGGCAGCGAATAAGCTGGACTACCTCCGCATTTTCCGGCGGTACGGTCTGGATCCGGATGAGCCGTTCTCCGACTCGTTCATTGCCCAGATTGGCAGCCTGCACGATGAATTGTTCTTCGACGTAGATTCCTCGCCTGACGGGGAGCACATCCCGTCGTCTTCTACTACAACAATGTTCGATGTTGAAGTTGATGAGGCAAACCGCAGTACATCGACGCCGGACTCCATCAAGTACAGGACACTGAGAGAATTGCTCCCCCTTCTCGTATCAGAGTTGCGCCAAACCTTCCCCCATGGCGCCGACTCAGTGGGTCGGCTTCTCGCTGTGGAGTATAGGTACCGCGGAGACGGTTCGCTCATTGATAGCCAGGTCTTCCCCATGGATGATCGGGCGCTAAACCTCTACTTGGGTAACACGATGGAGTGGTGGCGAGCGGACCGACAGCCGCGGGGTGTGCAAATTGAGGAAGCGTACAAGTGTCGAATGTGTGAGTTTGCGGGCGACTGCACATGGCGGTCTGCTATGGATGAGGATAGATTGCAGACTACTAGGCAGCGTTTGGCAAGCAGGAGGAAGCATGTTACAAGTGGCTGATGTTGCGATATTGCTTCTTTTGTGCGTTTGAGATGGCATTTTCTTCTTTGCGAGGCGCATTATTCGGCTGGGGCCCAAATTACACCAGATTCAAGATTTAGGATAGCTTATGACTATGAATTGATGATCTACATATCAAGGCAACTTGTGTCTTGCGCTTCTCTGAAAGATGGTCCGCATCACGGTTCTACTTTCGATCAAGCCTTATGACTTTCTTAGGGTTATTCTACTGATTCCCTTCCGACAAATGTATAGGCACTGGCCTATTAAGAGTCCAGCCCACGTAAGTCTACGTTAAGGGGGATTTTAATATATAGAATTTAAGTTAAAGAGTAGAGGTTTTTAGAGCGGAGGTTCTATAGAGGTTCTATAAAAGAAAAGCGCTTAAATAAAACCTTTATAAAAGCGGTATAATAAATTATAATAATATTTAAACTAAGGCTTAGATCTATTAATTAAGTTTAGCCTATAATATATACCCCCCTACTTCGCTTTTAAAATAAATTTACTATTAATCTATTTTTTAATTATAAATACTCTAAATAGTTAACCGCTCTATTTTAATTTATTAAACTAGCTATTTATAATCTCTTTTATTAATTTTTATTAAGCCCCCCCCTTTTATAAAAAGCTTTTTCTTTTTAATTTTTACGTAACGATTTATAAATATTTTAATTTATTTATTTTTATACTTCTATTATTTAAATTTTATTAATCTATTATAAAAATCTAATTTTTAATAAACCCGCTATTTTTATTATTATTTTTTATATATATAATCTTTTTTTTTACGCTTATATACCCGCGCATATTTAAAAACCTTCTTTTAATTTAAATAATAGTTAAATAAATATTTTATACGCTACCGCTATTATATTTTTTATATATTATTACTTTATAGCTTTTTAGCTTTTTATTTATTATTAACGTTTTAATAGTTCGTCCCTATTAACTAGCCCGCTACTATTATTACTACGTTTATTAAGCCTATTATTCTATTTAATAACGAGGGTAATATAAATAGTAAAGAATTAGAGTTTAGCTTTAACTCCGAGCTATTATCTATTTACCTTTTTAAAAATAAATTAAACGTTTAAATAGTATATTAAATTTACGTAGCGTATCCGTTCCCTATTTATAAAGTTTATTAACTTTATATCTAGCTAACGTTTAATAAAAAAGGTAAAAAAAACAAAAAAAAAAAAAAAAAAAAGAGAAGAAGCTTAAAGAGGCCCCTATATTAAGCGCCCTATACGGGGTCCTTTATTTTTTTATATATAGGCGCTAGTTAAAAGTAGCGATACCCTAGCTAGTATTAGTTATTACGATTACTTTTATATACTAAACTACCGTTATTTATTTATTTATAAGTTATTAATTTATTAAAAAGTTAAAAGTATTATTTACTACGCTATTTACGCTAATAGTAAGATTAATTATTATTATAACCCTATATATTTACTATTATTATTTTTTATTTATTTTATAGTTATTAACCTATTATTTTTAGTTTAACGACGTTATTAAAGCAATTTAAATAGAGTTCTTTTAAATAGTTAAAGAGTATTACTAACTATTAACCCCTATTATAAATAACCCCGTTTTTAAAGCCGTTATATATCCGCTCGATATTTATTATTTATATATCGCTAACCGTTCTTTTTTTATTATTAATATAAAGACTTTATAAATACTTTTAACTATTTATATATTACCGCTATTACCTAGATTAAAACTAAAAATAAAAAGGCCTATATTTATTATAATACCCGTATTATAACTACCTTCCCCGCTATTAAAATACTTACTCTTTATATAACCCCTACTTACGTAACCCCTACTATTACCTTTATTACTACCCCTATTACTACCCTTATTACTGAGGGCGCGGCCTTTTTTATTATAAAAAAGGCCCGTATTATTAACGAGTATTATTAAGCCCTTATTTCTCTTTACGCTACTATAAATACTTCTTTTATACTCTCTTTTTTTATAATTAATCCGTTTTTAAACCGCGGCTTATTATTAACTTCCCTTTACCTAGGCTAAAAAGGGTAACCGGCCCTTAGTTTTTAAACTTTAAATAGCCCCTTTTTATATTTATAGTATTATTATTAACTTTATATTATACCCTGCGGGGCTAAATTGTTTTCTAATTTATAGGCCTTAATTTAATTACTTTTTTATTTCCTATTTAATACCCGTTTTCTTTTTATTATTATAATTTATATAATTATTATAGGCTTTTAGCGCTTTTTAATTTTATTTTAATAACTTAGGTTATTATTAAATTTTTTAGCGGGCTTATAGCGTAGTTCGAACTCTTTTAAAGTATTTATTAAATAGAATAA